GGGGGTGGGGGAAGGCTTGGCCTTTCGCGGTTAAGAGCTTCCTTGAAAACGCAGGCGGACACAAACCCCCAGCGGCGGGTTTTCCCTAGTTCGTTGCACCTGTGGGGGACACCGCCCTGAGGCCATGGAAGGCGCGGGGAGCGTCGAGGGAGATATGACCTAAATTGACAAAGCCGGGCGCCGATTTCCCCATAGGGTTGGTCCTCTCTCTCTCTCTCTGTTTTTGGGGGGTGGCCCTTAGTTGTATGCGGAGTCTTCCAGGGAGAGCAGAAGGCACACCACCCATTCGGGGAATTTGGGGGGCCCCCTAAAAGAACACCCCTTTTGTTTGGGCTTGGGTTTTTGTTTTGTGGTAAGGGAAACCGGTGTCCATGTCTGGGACTCCGGGGCCCGGCTTTTCCGCTCGGGCTCCATGGCGCAGCCCGTGTCATATGTGGCGTACGGGGGTCGAAGGCGAACCTGTAGCTGGCGAACCTGTACCTGAAGCCTCGCCTGGCCAGAAGATGTGTGTGGCGCCCGCCGCGCTTCTTTTTTTGTCCTTCTTCTTCTTCTTCTTATTTTTCTCCGAGTGAGTGAAGTGGCGAAAACATGTGCTTTCTTGATATATGGGGAAGTAGTCAGTGATCAATTTATGTTTGTCTTTGAGGGGTTCGCTGATCAGTGATTATGTTTAAGTCTTTAGGGGGTTGCGGCAAGCTCCCAACACTGTCGGAAGTGCTTTGAGGTATGGACAAGTTCGAGCTTTCAGACGTGGAAAGCAGAGTTCGGCAACAGTTGGGAAGAAGTTCAGGGACCATGTGAGAGGTTTGTAGGGTGTCCTTTTTCAGGGTCCCCAGGTTCTTCTTTAAGTTGGGGACCCCCGAATCTTGTTCTTGTCCCTGTAGCTGGGGTAGACTTAGGATACATTTTACATTTTGCCAGTGACTCAAAGCAAACAATAGAACATACATTCTATAACTGGGCCTTAGTCTCAACATGCTTGGTTTGCCTTTTACGGAAACTCAAGAAAGACGGGGGCCATGTTCGACTTGCCAGAATGCCTTTGGGCTCATGTGCACGGGCATCATCTGCCTCCCGCTGGCCCTACTTCTCCTTGGGCCGGGGCCTCGGGGCAGGATGGCGCCAGGAGTGTCGCACGAGCCTCGAAGGGGTGCTGCGTGTGAATTGTTCTCTTGGAGTTGGTCTTGCACTTTTTCCCCGGAAAGCACCGAAAAATCCCGGCGTCGCGCCAAACAAATCCCTGGGCGCCCAAATAGTTTGCCCAGAAAGCACAGAGGGCAGCGGCGAAGAGCTGAGAGTCAAGTCTCAGGTTTCCGGAGTCCAGGTCAGTTTGAATCAGGGCGCCTCGTCTGAGTTGGTACCCCTTTTCTTTCTTGGGCTTGCAAAAGGGAAAACCCAAGGGACGCCTTCCTATTTCGGTGTCCCCTCGGGTTTTTTTTCTAAGCCGACGCATGGCTTCTCGTTAAAAGGCCCAAGTGGCCGGGAGCCGATTTGCTGCGGCTCGCCGGAACATGGGATCCGAGGGTGGGGGTTCCCAGCCAGTTTGGGCGAGTTTCTCGCGTTTCGGGCTCAAGGTCCAACGAGAAGAGTTACGTGTGCACCCACAACAGCATCTTTTACGCGGATCAGAAAGCCAAGGCCGGAGCCTTTTGTGACTCTGAATAGATGCGCGGTTGGCAAGCGAGAGAACTGAACCCGTCCCATTATTAGGGGGGTGTTCCCTCCAACAGTGATGAACCCCCAATAAGGGGACACCCCCCTATTAATCAGCCCCAAGCGTTTATTGATCCGGGGTTAACATTATGTCTTTCTGAAGTTTTGTGTTTTCCTTTTTTCGCGCGGCTCGCCAGGTGCTTCAATGCAACCAACACCCCAGCGCCGTCCAGGACCGATGGGGAAAGCTGCTCTCTTGAGGCACGTCATCTCAAGCTGCCCTCGTTGAGTTCCGAAAGTTAAAGGCAGGGAAGTCGCTCACGTTTGCATCCTGAAAGGCAGGGCAGCTCCAAGAGAATCGGAATAACAATAATAAGAAAGAAAGAAAGAAACACACCCAACAAAAAAACATCCTCAGCTTCTACGAACGTGGTCTTCTGAGTGGTGTTTTGTTTTTTTCAATGGGGATGCTGGATGTTCGGATTGGGCACGGTTTCCATGTTGAAGAGAGCTGGGTGCCGCGCTTTCTGCGCGAGGACGGGGCGGTGTTCATGGCTTGCCCCATCCAGCAGGCGCAAGTTGCCTCGTTGCCATGTCGGAGGTTGGTTGAAATGGAAACCAGAAACCAGCCATTGGGTCGATCCCGTATTCTGACACATACCCACCGTCCATTTCCCTTTTGACTCGGCTTTTCCAAAGCCTCACCAAATTGACGTCAAACCTGTCTGATGTTCTTAAGGCCGGCAAAACAACATTGGGCCGTAGCAATGTGAGGTTACATTTTCCACAGGCAGCTTTTGAGCTGGCCGGCGCCTGTTTTTGTCAGAGATCTGGAAAGCTTGCTTCCATACCATTCAGGCGGCATTCCCCCCCCCCTCCCGAACAAACTCGCATTCGGGACCCTTCCCAAAAGTTTCCTGTAAAAATCGACTCCGGAAGCTCGGGCGGGGAACTTCCGGTATTTCTCCTTCCTTCCTGATCGAAAGCCATCGAAGGCACGAAAGTATGCTGTGGCGGTGTTCCTCTTGGTTTCCCTCTAAGCAAGGGGTAGTAACTCCCAAAAAATGGAGCCACACCTTAGCGCAACTGAAAGGTGAGTTGTGAGTCGTCAGGACAGCCTCCAGACCTTTTCGGCGGGCAACTTGGGCGCGACGGGTCTGGGCCACTCCGTCTCCGTGAGGCCTTTGAAACGGATTCGATTCGAAACGAAACGGATTCCACAAGCGGAACGCGAGGGCCCCTCGGCCAATCTTGCGGGAAGCCAAACGGAGAAAACATCTTGGGCCCATTTTGAGACACGCACTCGGCCGGCATTTTGCCGGCACTCCGCCGGTGAGAGGAAGTTTGGTTGACATGTCACAGTGGTTTTTTGTTCTTTGTCTCGTTTTGTTTGCTGATGGTTGTTCTTGTCTTGCTGTTTGTCCTCGTTCATGTATCGCTTTATTTCTTTGTGTTCTTGTTGTTTGTCTTTTCTATCTTCTTTCCTTGATCCTTATTGCTTTCATTCCTGTTATCTAATCTATCTATCTATCTATCTGTCTGTCTGTCTGTCTGTCTGTCTGTCTGTCTGTCTGTCTGTCTATCTGTCTATCTGTCTATCTGTCTATCTGTCTATCTGTCTGTCTATCTATCTATCTATGTATCTATCTATCTATCTATCTATCTATCTATCTATCTATCTATCTATCTATCTATCTATCTATATATATATATATGTATGCTAGCCCCCCCCCCAAAAAAAAAAAAAAACGCATTTTCAACATCAGAAAGTCAGATGCTCTTGATATGGAAAGATGGTTGGCTTTTAAGCAGAGGTAGATGGTTGACCTTGATAGCAAGACAGATGCTTGTTTACACATACACATGACCATGTTTTCATGGACGCGCGACCATATATATATAGTATCCCTCATCTATCTATCTGTTCTATCTGTTCTATCTGTCTAGCTAGCTAGCTAGCTATCTATCTATGTATCCATCTATCTATCCGCTTTTCAGATTTGTCCTAATCTATAATATATATATATACATATCGACTCTATCTATCTGCCACGGTGCTGCGCCTGCCACGACATTTATCTACGCCTGACCTTGTGAAACCTGCCACGAAATCTGTACCTGAGCTTGTGAAAGTGCTGCACCTGTCACGCAATCCGAACACTTGTCACCTCTGCAAGTTGCCTCTGTCTTCTTGCTTTTGTTTATTGTATTTCCGCTTTCTTCTCTTCTTTTCTCTTCTCTTCTCCTTCCGCTCATCTACTTTCAAACGACAGCCTTCACTTGGCGCCAGTGCGTTGAAAGTTTCTAAGCTTCAAAAGATGGTTCCATGTTGGAACCAGGTCAAGCATTCCGGTTTTTTTTCTCCACATATTTCCACAAGATCTGCAAGAAAGACTTGCCGTTTTTTGGTCGTTGGAAAGGACTCGGCCTCTCGATAGAGGCTGGTTGACTCGCAGGTCTGCGGCGGCCGCGGCTCATGCTGAGATGTTCCAATGTGCCGTCAGCTGAGAGTGGCTCGGGTGGTTTCTCAGGTTTGGGTTATGGCGAGGTCCTTGTGGTTTCCAGTTCCACAAGATGGTTTGAGAAGCACTCTTAGGTTGCTTATGTTGCTTGGTGAGTTAAGGAAGCCAAGCATTGCAGGAGGTCCCCTTTGACGGGTTTGTCACAACTGTATCTTGTTCCTTTTTTGGACCCTTTCCGCCGCTAGGAAAAGCATAGGGCGCCCAAGTACTTCCCCCATTTGCCTTGCACTGACGCAAGTGCTTGATTTTAGTTTGGGGCGGCTAACGGCCCCAGGGATGTGGTGGGAAAATTGGGAAGCAAACAGTTCGTCTGGGCCGAGTGCTTCTGCTAGATCCAGGCCGGAGGTAGGGATACGGGATACCCGACTCAATTTTCCCATCTCTGGATCAAAGATTGTCAGAGTCCAAGGCAGGGCTTCATGTGGCAAGTCTGAAACAGTGGCCGTTTCCACCTTCGACACATCTTACGCAAGAGACGCCAGTCTTTCGTGTGCTTCCAAATGAATCATGTATCAGCTTGCGAAGAAGAAGCCGAACGGAGCCCCGGATTCGTTGAAACCTATTCTTGCATGCAAATGCTCAATATGGACATGTTTGTATAGCTGTTTGTGTACATGTTTGTATAGGTCTGTTTTGTTTTCTCAAAATGGACATGCTCATCATAGCTGTTTTGCACATGAAAAGGACCCCTGTTCGAGGCTTTCCGGTTCCTGGATTGTGTCAGCCCAGGTGGAGTCCTACAAGACCCAGACACAGGGCAAGACCAAGGTGAAGGCTCGGCTGTTCCAGCGCTGACTCGCGCAGTTTTCGACCTGAAGCGCCTGCAGCGATTTCGGCTCTTTGCCGAAGGTCAGAAGGGTTGGTTGCTGAAATGGCCAAGACGATCGCCCTGCTGCTATGTCTGCAAACGGTGCAGGCAGATCCCTGCGCAGGTTTGTATGGTGCTGAGGGTTTGACCTGCGCATGGGGTGAGGATGTGAAGACTTGCATGGCAGAGAGTTGCAAGGGCTGCGGTGGCGAGCAGTGCTCGCTTTGCCAGCAGGATGCATCCCGCATTGAGACTTGCTGCGAGCAGCACTGGCACTCGACCGCTCCTCCTGAGATGTGTCAACAATCTGACGAGGAAAAGGTGAAGGCGTGTGTGGAAGAGAAGTGCCGAGGCTGTGGGGGGGAGCAGTGCACGCTGTGCATGCAAGACGCGCAAGCAGCATGCGAGGCATCCAACCGGAAGAGCCTACCGAAGAAGAAAGCTTCGGATGCTTGTGCAGGTTTGTATGGTGCTGAGGGTTTGACCTGCGCATGGGGTGAGGATGTGAAGACTTGCATGGCAGAGAGTTGCAAGGGCTGCGGTGGCGAGCAGTGCTCGCTTTGCCAGCAGGATGCATCCCGCATTGAGACTTGCTGCGAGCAGCACTGGCACTCGACCGCTCCTCCTGAGATGTGTCAGAAATCTGACGAGGAAAAGGTGAAGGTGTGTGTGGAAGAGAAGTGCCGAGGCTGTGGGGGGGAGCAGTGCACGCTGTGCATGCAAGACGCGCAAGCAGCATGCGAGGCATCCAACCGGAAGAGCCTACCGAAGAAGAAAGCTTCGGATGCTTGTGCAGGTTTGTATGGTGCTGAGGGTTTGACCTGCGCATGGGGTGAGGATGTGAAGACTTGCATGGCAGAGAGTTGCAAGGGCTGCGGTGGCGAGCAGTGCTCTCTTTGCGAGCAGGATGCATCCCGCATTGAGACTTGCTGCGAGCAGCACTGGCACTCGACCGCTCCTCCTGAGATGTGTCAACAATCTGACGAGGAAAAGGTGAAGGCGTGTGTGGAAGAGAAGTGCCGAGGCTGTGGGGGGGAGCAGTGCACGCTGTGCATGCAAGACGCGCAAGCAGCATGCGAGGCATCCAACCGGAAGAGCCTACCGAAGAAGAAAGCTTCGGATGCTTGTGCAGGTTTGTATGGTGCTGAGGGTTTGACCTGCGCATGGGGTGAGGATGTGAAGACTTGCATGGCAGAGAGTTGCAAGGGCTGCGGTGGCGAGCAGTGCTCTCTTTGCCAGCAGGATGCATCCCGCATTGAGACTTGCTGCGAGCAGCACTGGCACTCGACCGCTCCTCCTGAGATGTGTCAGAAATCTGACGAGGAAAAGGTGAAGGCGTGTGTGGAAGAGAAGTGCCGAGGCTGTGGGGGGGAGCAGTGCACGCTGTGCATGCAAGACGCGCAAGCAGCATGCGAGGCATCCAACCGGAAGACTGCGGCAATCCTTCCATAAGTGAGGATTTCGCCAGGAATCGCTTGTTATATTCCCTGCAACTTTTGGGGCTGTCAAGGCACAGCCCAGCCAAATTCATGGATGTGCCTAGAGAGCTTTAGACAGCTGACGCTGCGGACATGTTAGTTTGCGCCAAACAAAGCTGCCATGGACTGTGACTTGAATGGTTTTGCTCCTCTGATTATGTACTTTTGCTCCTTTGATCGATTTTGAGCCAAGGGATTTGTTTTAAACTTTTTGTACCGCTTTCCCTTGGTCGATCATATATTGTGGACATTTAGATTCCGGCATGACCAGTCGCAGTACTAGTTCGCTTTCATTTGTCGAAAAAAGGCAGTATCGCAGTATCCTTGCTGGTTTTCCACGGTATCAAAAGGACCTCCCATAAGAAACTTCCAGTGCTCAAGTTGCCCAGTTTTGCAACAGAAGGTGAGTGGGAATCCTTCTGGGTTTCATGCGGCTTCTTTAACATTGTTTGGAATAGCTTGACATGTGCCTTTACGCAAGCCCAATCTTTTCGGGAACTCCCCCCCGGCTTGCGGGTGTCTTCTGCTCCTGCCAGATTTACAGCTACTCCATGCAGTGGTCGACCTACCCAATCGACTCCAGCGACTTTTCGCAGACGCCTCTTTGGCGAGGTTGCCCGAAAGATTTCGACAGCGCCGGAGTATGCACTTCAAGAGTTGGAGCCAGCTCGAAAGTGGTTGGGCAGCCTCAACTCAGCCAGTGGACACACTTTACACCTTTTTCTTGGTGGCTCTCCCTTTATGTCAGTGGTGGCCCAAGAAGTGTACACTTTTTTTGGGCTGGTCACTAGCCAAGAGAGTCAAATGTCCGTCGTGTCGGGAAGAAAATGAATGCCCAGGGGCCCCTGAAGAAGTCGCTTCGGTCCTTCCGTGCCCACCGGTGGTTGCGCAAAAAATTGCATTCGGCGGCCGCCCAATCATGGAATGTCATGGCATTCGGCACTCCCACTGGAGAAAGCACAAGGCAATGAACATCACACAAGAGCAAGGCCACGAACAGCTACCTTTTGTCTTTGGGACATGGCTCGGCATTTTTGGTTCATCTCGGTTTTCTCTAATATGCGGCCAAGTCCAGCCTAAAGTGTCACATGACCTGTGTTTGAGGTTGCTTGTTTGCAACCTTGGCAGACTGACCCTTTTTGATTCGGAGCTGCAAATTTGCGCAACGGTGTTGATTACTGTGGACCCCATATTGATGGACCCCACTTTATTAATAGGGGGGGGTTCCTGGGTTTAGAGGGGTTTTGGAGGGAAACCCCCCTGTTAATTATCTGGGGTTGATTAATACGGGGTCAACATTACTTAGACAAAGAGAGACAGCAACAATGTTGAGTATGAGATGAAACCGTTGGCATGGAGGTCTCATGATTCTTCATGGTTGATTAATACGGGGTCAACATTACTTAGACAGATGAGAAAGTGCCAAGCATCGACAGTCCAGAGACCGAAGTTGGGAAGATGTCGGATCCAAAATACTGTTCACCACTTCCCAAGACAAGCACGTGGCGAAAAGGACTTGTCAAGCTGCAACTACACGTTCCACATCCGCATTATCATGTAAGTCACTTTGGATATATCCAAACTGACTTCAAAGATGATGATGTTGATTACCCAAGAAAGCCCCCGATGACATCTGCCGACTAACGTCGAATTTCCGGGGCGATTATCTCCGGCCCGAGCTGATCTGACTCGCCAGGCAACAGGCGCAACAAGCGCGCGCGAACCAATGCCCTGGATTCACGTTTGGATTCTTGGCGGATTAGCTCATCTCCTCCAGCCATGGAATGGGTCGGACATGCCAGATGTCAGACATGTCCTGCCCCACTGTTCAGCAACAGTCCTTGAACCACATTTGCCTCGTTGGGTCTAAGTTCCGATGGCACGAATCCGAATCCAGACCTGCCAACTGATGGGAGCTTTGGCGGATTGTTCAACTTGAGAATGGCGAATGTGGCAATGTGGCCAGCAACACTTGTCCCTCTGGGCACACCTCGAAAAGAGAACAAGCAAATTGCAACTGGGTGTTTCTCAAAATAGTGGTCTGCTAAAATGGGAATTTGACGTTTTTGAGGCTGCCTTTTTTTGGTGATCTGTTTCAGGGAGCCAAGAGGACGCCAAGCATTTTTGGGGTGGTCGCCAATCAACAAGGCACCGTTGGCAACTTGGCGCTCTCCAAGCGACAGGCGCCAATGCGCCCTTTTAATTAATCTACCGGCAGGAATCGTGAAAGGGATGCCTCCTGGAGTCTCCATGACCCTTTAAACATGTGTCCATGACCCCTTGGTTTGGGTATAATGACCCCAAACTTTTTCAGGGTCATGGAGACTCGAAGATTCGATGCTTTCAAGATGTGAAGGTAAAACAGTTTGGTAAGGGGAAGCATTGGCCGGCGCAGGTGCTGCAGTGATTTATGTTACTCGCGAACCAACTCCGATGGCAGACCGCAAAGATGTTAATTTGGGGTAGGTGCACCACCCATTTTAGAACCTATTTTAGTGGTTGGATGGAATCGGATGTTCACTGGGGGCAAACCGATTTGGCTTTTGACCCATGGCCATGGCCACTTCGCCGCATTGGATTGTTTCTGGGAGGGTCTCCGCTGGCAAGCCACTTGCTATGGTTTGAGATTTTTGGCAGATCACCTGCCCCAAAGCACGAACGAAGTGACCGATAATTACTCTCCCCCAAGTTCTCCTGGCAATCGGTTTGGGAGTCCATCAAGGTCTCTCCCCAACTGAGTCAGCTGACCTGAAGCCCAGGAAACCCCGAGTGGCCTATGGACGTGCCACAGGGCACCGAGACGAGATACGCTCGGGCGCTCGGATGCTCAAGCGGCACGCCCTCAAGAAAGGGACTGGAGGGAACCCACGTCGGTGGAGAACAACGCGTAAACCTGAACCATTTCAACTCCGAACTCTGGGCTGATTTTTGTGTGTGTGTGTGTGTTCTTTTTTGAGACGACGGCTTTCGCAGGCTTTGAAGCCATGGGCGACATGGGCTGGCAGGAGTGCGTTTCGCGGGGTTTCCGAAGGTCGGGTTGGACTGCGGTCGCCTCCCCTTTTGTTTCCCCCTTTTTTGGGGCGCTTCCATTTGCTGAAGCTAGGTGAAATTCCGATTTTGTTGGTTTTAACGGGAGTCTATCACTACTGAGTCACTGCTGGAACTATGTTTTTCAGAGGACTTCAGCAAATGGATGGACGTGGAGCGCAAAGTGGCGCCAAAGTGGAGGAAGGATGTTGCTCCCTCCTTTTGCAGCGTTGCTGGGCGAACGGCGCTGGCCTTGTCTTGGTACACCTGAATCTGACCGCAGAAACTCCCCAACGCCTTCCTCAAATATCCTGCTCGTTGAAAAGGCCAAGAAAACGCCGTAGGGAGTAACTCGCTGGGCGCTGGTCCCCGTGCCCAGGCCGATCAAGTTCGCGCAGGGCCTTTGACCATTGATAAGGCACTGCTGCGAGGAGAACGGGATGGCGCAAGACGGGGGCCGAAGGAACGTGGGAACACACGCCTTTTCGCTGAGCTGGAAACTGTGTGGTTTGTCTTTGTTTGAGGCTTCCCCTTGTTGGTTGGTTTCGAGGGAAACCAACAGGAACTCTATTTTGAGGTGTCCCCTAATTCAGAATTGCACCAACATTCCAACCATGTGATTTCATGTGAGCGAGATAGACGATAGTTCAGCTCAAAGTGAGAGCTGGGCGAGTTTGCAACATGGGATTTATGTGTACAGTCTAGGCTTTGTATTTGTTTGTCGTGTACTTTTTTGTTTCAAAGTGAAGGTGTGGCCCAGGTTCCTCCGAGAGGCCAATTTTTTCGGGTGTAGCTTCGGCGGCTCTCAGCGGCGCTCTCAAGCGGCGCACAAGCGGCGCTTTTGCGGGGTGGTCCGCTGCTAAACCTATCCTATACCCAGGCATGCCTTAGGTTTGCATTGTTTTGCACGTTTAAATCCACCCAACAAAAAGGGCATACCATACATAAACGACGGACCCACAAGTTCACAGCGGTCTAAGACCAGCCCTGAATTTTTGTTGGCTCGGCTCTCCGCTCAACGCTCAAAACGGCTCACCGTGCATGAGCTTCCCGAGCACTCTGCCAGCTGCTCATCGGTCGGCGCCCAACGTCTCGCGCAGTCGCAGAGCGACTTGCAATCGGTCACCCAGCATGGGCAGGTCGGCGCAGCCCCAGGCGATGCCCAAAGCTATGCAGAACGCGTGGGGAGCGGACGTCCAGATTTCTGCCGCGCGTCGGGTGATGCGCGCCGTGGATCGCCCAATAGCTTGCTGGGAGTGGCCAGATCACCAGGCAAAGTGCAAGCTCATGCGAAGTCACCAGAAGCAACGGCCAGGGTGTGACCTGCTGCATGATCGCGGCCCGGCGCGGGCAAGTGTCGCAGCAGTGCTTCCCCGGGAAACGCACGAGGAAGCTGCTACTTCTTTTACCAATACAACGGGTACGACAGCTGCTGCTGCTGCTGCTACTACCACCACTGCTACTAGCAGCAGCATCACTACCGCGACGACTACTTCTGTGTTTGCCACTCCAACAACTGCGACTGCTATTACTACTACTACTACTACTACTACTACTACTACTACTACTACTACTACTACCACGTACTACCACTTGCTACCTACTACCTACTACCTACTACCTACTACCTACTACCTGCTACCTGCTACCTGCTACCTACTGCCTACTACCGACTACCTACTACCTACTACCTACTACCTACTACCTACTACCAACTACCTACTACCTACTACCTACTACCTGCTACCTGCTACCTGCTACCTATTACCTACTACCTACTACCTACTACCAATAGCTACTTCTTACTTCCTCCTACTACTACTACTACTACTACCACCTACTACCTACTACCTACTACCAACTACCTACTACCTACTACCTACTACCTGCTACCTGCTACCTGCTACCTATTACCTACTACCTACTACCTACTACCAATAGCTACTTCTTACTTCCTCCTCCTACTACTACTACTACTACTACTACTACTACTACTACTACTACTACTACCACCACCTACTACCTACTACCTACTACCTACTACTTGCTACCTGCTACCTGCTACCTACTATCTACTACCTACCACCTACTACCTACTAGCAACTACCTACTACCTACTACCTACTACCTCCTACCTGCTACCTGCTACCTCCTACCAACTACCAACTACCTACTACCTACCTGCTACCTACTACCTACTACCAACTATCTACTACCTACTACCAACTACCAACTACCTACTACCTACTACCTGCTACCTGCTACCTGCTACC